GACTTGCAGAATGTGCCCTTTGGTGGTGTAAATTATTATATATGCCTGAGTGTTTAGAGAAAAAAAAAAGAGCTAAAATGAATAGAAATACTGTTAACTGACAGTACATGGAGGGGATTATAATAATTGTAATGAAATGAAGTATATGATTTGTTGACTGTAAAACTGATGATCTACCCTATAAACTGTCACTCAATTCACAATAAAAAAAATATTTTTTTTTTTTAAAGAGTAAATTTGGGTTTGGTTCCAGGCTTCTGATCTTAAAGGCTGAGCATACATGAGCATTCAATTTACTGAACTGGAAAGCGGAATTAACAATAGAACCTGCTTCTCAGAGCAGTTGCAAAGATTAAATAAATACATATCTAATACAGAGCAAGCCCTCTATTGATAGAATTAGTATCACTCACATCTCTACTCCTCATCCATGGTCTTTTTGACTATACCACTCCTTTTGACATAGCACAGTTGAAACCAAATGCATTAATTCTTGAATTTTTGTCCAGCGTATTAATGGAGCTGGTTCTGGAATTCCAGTCTGGAAAGCCAGATTGGAGCTCTGGTTTTCCCTCTTCGTTGCTCTGTGACTTTCCATGAGTCACTTTCCCTTTCTGGGCCTCAGTTTCTTAATCTAAAACAGCACTGTCCAGTAGAAAGAAATATAATAAATGTAAGGCATGTATGTAATTTAAAAGTACTTGTTGTTGTGAGTTGCCATTGATTGTGTTTATCAGAAGGAAATGTTGCCTGTCCCTGCACCAGCCTCATAATCATTGCTATTCTTGAACCCATTTTCACACCCACTTGTCAATCCTTATCTTTGAGGTGCTTCCTCTTGCTTACTGACACTCTACCAAGCACAATGTCCTTCTCCAGGAACTGGTCCTTCCTGAGAGTATGTCCAAAGTAAGTGATGAAGTTAGTTCCTCTGATATATTCATACTCTATATCAATACCATAATTCAAAGGTATAAATTCTTCTTAGGTCTTACTGATTCATTGTCCAGCTTTCACATGCATATGAGGTCAGTAGAAGATACCATAGTTCGAATCAGATGCATTTTAGTCCTCAAAGCAACATCTTTGCTTTTTAACACGTTGAAGAGGTCTTTTGTAGTAGATTTTCTCAATGCAATCCGTCATTTGATTTCTTGACTGCTGTTTCCATGAGTGTTGATTGTGGATACAAGTAAAATGGAGTCCTTAACAGCTTCAACATTTTCTCAATTTATCATGATGTTTCTTGTTAATCCAATTGTGAGGATTTTTATTTTCATTATGCTGACATTTAATCCATAGTGAAGTCTGTAATCTTTCATCTTTATTAGTAAGTATGTCAAATCTTTATAAAGAATGTAATCAGTGTTACTGAATTGTACATGCAGAAATTGTTGGCTTGGTACATAGTCTGCTGTGTATATTTTCAACAACCACAAAATAAATTTAGAACAAAGAAATAGGTGAAATTAGTTTAAATAATTCTGTATATTTTATTTAACCCAATGTATCCAAAATATTGTCATTTGGACATATAATCAATATGTTAAAAAATCACTAATGAGAAATCTTATCTTTTTCTATTTAAACTAAACCTTTGAAATCTGATGTGTATTGTGCATCAGTGGTTTTCAACTGAGGACAGTTTTACACGCACATACACACACACATATACCCTACAACCCAGACCATTTGGAAATATCTGGGACAATTTTTATGGTCATAGTTGGGCATATTCAATAGTCACATGTGGACACAACATTAGACAGTACGACTTCATGACATGAGCTATTTGAGCATGTACCTGAAAAAGTCAAGTTTTTACTCATAATAATAATAATAATAATAATAAAGACCAAGCATGCTGGTCAGAAAGAGACTGGAAGAACCTAAGACTATGGCCTTTGGTCATCATTAAGGTCTAGAACTGAACTCACCCTTGTATGGCTCAATTTTCAGCCAAGCAGTAGATAGGTGTATAGGAGAGACAACACTAGAGAGGTATTGTTGTTGTCATTATTGTTAAGTGATGTCAAGTCGGTTCTGACTCATAGCCACCCTGTATAGGATTTCCAAGGAGCAGCTGGTGAGTGTGAACCGCTGACCTTGCAGTTCAAATGGCTTTATAGTCTGGCTCATTAACCCACAGCGCCACATCAGGACTCCCCAGAGAGGTATGTTGTTGTTATTTGCCGTGGAGTCGGTTCTGACTCATAGAGACCCTGTACAGGGTTTCCAAGGCGGTAAATCTTTAAGGGAGCAGAAAAGCTCATCTTTCTCCCGTGGAACAGCTGGTAGTTTCAAACTGCTGACTATGAGATTAGCAGCCCGATTCGTAACCAATATGCTACCAAAGCTCCTTCCAGAGAGGTATACACACCATAAAATAATCAACCATTAGATCAAAAGGGCAGTATTTACCTAAGGACAAACTTCAGAAGGCTTGGGAAAGAAGGAGGAATGGAAACAAAACTCACAGGGGAAAAGTGAGACAAATAATGACACATGGGGGGCTTTGCAATCATTGAAATGAAACCAGTGTATGAATGTAAAACTGATGAACTGTTCTGTAAACCTTCATTCAATTCACAGTAAAAAGTTTTTTTTAAAAGTCAAGTTTTTATGAACATGTATTTTGTTAAGTTTGTCTTCCTGCTCATCCCTGATCAAAACAGCTGTGGCTGGTTCACCAGCCCTGGCCAGCTAAGGACAGACCCATCTGTCCCTGGCTGGTCAGACTATTCCAAAGCCACCTGCCCCCTCTGAAGAGAGCAAGGCTGGACAGACAGTGAGCTCTGTTGTTCTTTGCTGGAGAGACAATACTGCAGGCCCTGCTACCTGCCTGACAGGGCTATTGTGGCTCAGGGAGAATAGGGCTTTGTCAGAACAGCAGCGAAGAGCCTGTCATTCAATGGGCTTCTTTATGTCTGTGTTTTCACCACAGCTCCATGCCAACCCTGGGAGGCCCAGCCCCCTCTTGGGGTAGATGGGAAGCCTAGGCCCTGAGAGGGTATGGAAGGCCCCACAGGCAGTCCCAGATCCCCCTATCTCATTCCATTACCCTAAAACAGAAAACTCTCCAAACTGTGAAAAGCATAAAGACAAGTACTGCCCTTCATTGTTGTTGTTAAGTGCCTTTGAGTCATTTTTTGACCCTGTATAGGGTTTCCTAAGAGTAGCGTGTAACTTTGAACTGCCAACCTTGTGGCGCAAACTGACCTTGCAGTCCAGTGCAATAATATCCAGCAGCGCCAAACCAGGACCTGGGAAAGGGAGTCCCTTTGTGAGGTCCTGAAATTCAGAGGCTCTGCAAATCACAAACACATACAAAAACAAATGTATTACAGAGCACATGTGTACACCTGTCTCTCAGGATCTAGACTGAGCTCTGGAATTGCACAAGCCAGAGCCCTCAACATCTTCTCTTGGTTTACAAAGCTCAGGCCCCAAGGTAACACTCCACATCTCTCACCCTATGCCCTTGGGAAAAAAAGCAACTGAGTCTGAACGTGATGCAGGTTTGTGGACTGTATAGCTGCCAGCAGCAGATATGAACACTGATGTGGTAGAGGAGGAACAGAGCAGCAGAGATACTTACTGTTGTTAGGTGCCGTCAAGTCAATTCTGACTCATAGGGACCCCATATACAACAGAAAGAAACACTGCCCAGTCCTGCATTATCCTCACAATTGTTATGTTTGAGCCCATTTTTGCTGCCACTGTGCCAATCCATCTCCTTCAGAGTCTTTCTCTTTTTCATGACCCTCTAATTTACCAAGCATAACATCCTTCTCCAGGAACGGGTGCCTTCTGATAAAACTCCCAAAGTACGTTAGATAGAGTCTTGTTATCCTTGCATCTAAGAATCATTCTGGCTGTACTTCTTTCAACACAGATTTGTTCACAGAGATGCTTAACAGAAAGAAAAGACCAATTTACTTCTCTTGTCAACTCCTTCCTTTCAGGTGGTATGTTGTTGTTGTTAAGTGCCGTACAATCGGTTCTTATCCATAGCAACACTGTATAGGGTTTCCAAGGGGCAGCTGTTGAATGTCTGTTGACCTTAGGTTCAAATCGACTTTGCAGTCCAGCAAATTAACCCACAGTCCACACCAGGACTTCGGGTAGTATTTATTCTTACTGTAATGCCATTGAGTTGGTTCTGATTCATAGCAACCCTGTATAGGGTTTCCAAAGGACAGCTGGTGGGTTTGAACTGCTGACCAGTTCACAGTCCAGTGCTGATCCTGCAGCATCATGTGGGTGTGTATATTTTTCCATAATGGAGTATCACTTTCCAGTAAGGTCAATGACGCCGTTCCTGTGTCTCTGTGTTAAGGCCAGGCCTGGTGTTCTTAAAGATCTGTGCGGCTGTGTTCGGTGAGCAATCTCCATGACTTCCCTTGGGTACTAGTCCTTTCCCATTCTCTACTCACCTTTGTTCTCACCCAGTGGTGGTTCACATACACAAAAAGGAAGGGGTCATCTTATCTGACAGATGAGGAAACTGATCTTTATGGAAGGTTGTTGTAAAGTGCTATCGAGTTGGTTCCAACTCATATTGACCTTCTATAAGTTTTCCAAGTTGAACCATGACCTTGTGGTTCAAACTGACCATGCAGTCAATTAGTTTATTCCACAGTGCCACACCAGGCCACCTATTGATGGCAAGTGACTTGTTTACTTGTCTCCAGCAAGTTAGATGGAGCCACAAGCTAAAAGGACCCATCTTCAGAAGCCATGCTAGGAGATAACCAGTAGACAGTGGAGGCTGGTGGCTTGGAGGACAGGCTTGAGGGCCAGAACATCCGTGATACTCCTGGCCCCTTCACTCACTAGCTAGGGGACTTGGAGGCAAGTTTCTCAAAGTGTTCAAAATGTAGGTGTTCCCATATAAGATGGGAAGTTGGTGAAGGGTATATATATGTATACACACACACACACACACACACACACACACACAGAGACTATTTTGTAACTGTCTATAAGTCTAAATTTATCTCATAATAAAAAACTTTTTGTTGTTGTTTTGTTTTGTTTTTTTTTAAATCAGTACACACATTTTATTGAGTGGTCTGGAAGGCCATGAGAATCCTTCTCTGAAAGACTGCCTTCCATAATAAAAAATAATTTTGAAACTACAGTTGGCTACATAGAGGTAGCAGAGGTATCTGCCTTCTAAGAGGCTTAAATAAGATGATGTGTGTAAAGGGCTTCCTACACTACTGTCCAGAAGTGAGGACTTAACTGATGGTTACTTTAAAACGCTATCTCTTTCAGGAGGCCACAATGAGCAATACTGTCAGAACTGATTACTGTTTTCTTGGCTACCCATGTTTCATCTGCAAGCAGTTTATTTGAGTGTTAAAATGCAAGGCTGCTAAATGTGACCACTTACTATTGTTGTTAAATGCCATCAAGTCAGTTCCGACTCATAGTGACCTTGTATAGAGTTTCCAAGGAACGGCTGGTGGGCTTGAACTGCCAACCTTATGGTTCAAACAAACTTTGCAGTCCAAAGCATTAACCCACAGCACCATACCAGGACTCCAATGTGACCACTAGGAACATGCATTTGATCCTAGCTTCCCACTTCTATCTGAGATGCCAAACAAGTTGCCTGATCACTCTGTGCCTCTGTTTCCTTTCTGTCAATAATAAAAGTTAATACCTTCTAATGTTGTCCTGGAGTCTTAGTATTGCGCTGTGGCATAAGCACTAGTCTAGTTAACCCAAAAGTTGGTGATTCAAGCATACCATCCGCTCCTCAGAAATCCTATACAGGCTCACTATGAGTTGGAACCGACTCCATGGCATTTAAACAACAACAGTGTTGTCATGAGGATTAAATGCAAAATTTGAGCATATAGAGAACTGTGGCCTATAATCTACCATCTACATTTTAGTCTATCAATGGTGTTAAGGGCTGTCGAGTCAGTTCTGACTCATAATGACTCTGTATAGGGTTTCCCAGTATCTGATGGTGGGTTTGAGTGGCTGACCTTGAGGTTCAAATCAATGTTGCAGTCCAGTGATTATCCTACAGAAACACACCAGGACTCCTGTATATTTTTCTTAAATGGTAATCTGGAAAACACCAGTCTCTAGGTAACTTGATCCTGTTTTGTTTTCCCCATTCATATATAAGTTTAGTGGGGGATTAGGAGTAAGTGATTTGTTTTGATCTCTAGTTGCATCCTTTCTTTCTTTTACCAAGCTCCATTCCGAGTCCTGGTGTGGCGCTGTGGGCTAATGCATCAGACTGCAAAGTCGTTTGAACTGCAAGGTCGGTGGTTCAAGTTCAACAGCTGCTCCTTGGAAACCCTATACAGGGTCGCTATGGGTCGGAATCGATTCAACAGCACTTAACAACAACAACAACAATCATCCATTCATTGGACAAAAGTATACTGAATATTGATTGGGCACCAACTGTAACGTTGGTGGTTCAAACTCACTAGCAGATGTGAGCTAGAAAGACCCAGCTGTCTACTCCATAATGATTTGTAGGCTCAGACACCCTGATCTTTGTTGACTGTATAAATAAAAAGAGAAAGGAAGAAAGGGGGGGGAGGGAAGGAAGGAAGGAAAAAGCCCAGGACCCCTAGCCCGACAAAGCTCCAACAGGCAGCTGTTTCCCTTTCCAAGCCCGCATTTCCATTCCCACCACAACCTGGAAGTTGCCCCTTCTGCGCCATCCTGGGGCTCATCCCTGTGGTTGGAACTGGGTGCAGGTCGAGGCTTCGGGAGGAGCAGGGGTGGCGCCAGGGGACCCGCCCCCTCGTCTCCTGCCCTGGGCACGGGGCCGTGACTCGCACGCTGGTCGCCTGGCAGCTTCCACGCCCGCATAGGGCGTGCGCCCCTCTACCGGCAGCCAGAGCATCCGGCCCCGGCCCCCCAGAGTTGCCCAAGACGCAGGGTGACTCCTCCCTGGGGACCTTCCCCTTCTTGGACGCGTCATTCTCCCCACCCCCTGAGTCCTGACCCCCGCGGCTTCTCGCGCGCGGACCACGGCGGGGACACGTCCTAGCCACCTGCTGAGGAGCCGGGAGCCCGGGGCGCCGTCCGCCTGTGCGTCGGCCAGTGCGCCCAGGGCCCCATGGAGCTGCCGGCCAGCAATGCCAGCTGCGAGAATGGTGCGTGTGGCTGGGGCGGGGGCCGGGGCCGGGTTCTGGGTAGAGATCCGAACCGCGCTCCTCGCGCTCCTCGCGTCCATACTGCCCCTTCCCGTTGCTCCTTTCCTGTCAAATAGTCCAAAACTGAGGCCCCTACCAGGTTCCAAGGCCGGTCGTGGGAGAGCAGTTCTCTGGCTGAGACTTCATCCCAATCTCTCCCAGTTGCTGAATCTGTAGTAGTTGAGGAGCAAAGGGAGAAAGGGAAGGCGGAAGAAGGCTGTGACCTCGGTCAAGTCAGCTGGGAGATGGAGGTGGGATGGATTCTTTCTTTTTTATGAATATAGTTGCTAGTTGCTTAGTATTCGAACATTGTTATTCGGAGCCCTGGTGTGGCGATGTGGGTTCATGCGCTGGACTGCAAGGTCGGTGGTTCAAGGTCACCAGCTGCTCCTCGGAAACCCTATACAGGGTCTTTTTGAGTTAGAACCAACTTGGCAGCACTTAACAACATAGTTGCTTCAGCATTTACCAGCCCAGGTCTGGTTGTTTCCAGGGGTCAAGCAAAGACAGAGGGAGAGGGTGCCAGAGGCTCACCACCCACACCTTTTAGAAAAAAGAGGGAAAGAAACAACCTTAGGAAAAGATAAGGAAAGATCTTTGACTTCAGGTTGAGTTCTTCTCCTTAACTAGGTAGTGAACTGGATCTTTTACCTGCATGATCTCACTTAATCCTTAAAAGAACTCTGGAAAGTGGTAGGTATTATAGCAGTGTTGTTGTTGTTAATTGCTATGAGTCAGAAACCACTCTCCGGCAATCAGTTTGATCCTCATTTTAAAAACACAAAAACTGAGACTCTGAAAAGTCCAGTTGCTTGTCCATGGAACACAGTGGGGACCTGGCATGTAAAATCAGGGCTCTTGGTTTCTAAAACCTGTGGTCCTGCTATTGTGCTCAACTTTGTCCTTGATTTATCTCCACCTTCCTATACCATGTCTTGGAATTGAAGCCTATATGATATCCTTGTTCCATCCCTTCTCTAGCAATTTCAAAGCTGACCTGCCTGTCAAATATGGGCTGGGTTTGGTGTCCTGACCAACAAGACAGATCATTTTCAGCCTCCCTCCACTCCCTGAGGCTGTTCCCCAGACCTAGCAAGTTCATGGTGGAAGACAAGAGTTGATTCATCTGGTATGACACGAACTATTCAGATGAGCACCCTCTTCACAATGGGATTTCCTTTTGTCTTCAGCTCTCTATGTGTTTCTTTTCACCCTTATGGGAGAACTTAACTCCCTAGAGGGCATTGAGCTGCTTGGGTGCTGAGACCTTAAAGTGGCAGCCAAGTCCACAGCAGGCCTTTTGACCCACCTACAGGAGACACACCTTGGAGAGGACAAGGGTGAGAATGGAAACAGCCTTGGACTTCCTTTCAGGGAGTTATCCTTCTAGGTCCATATCTACCTATGTACTGGGTCATTTCCTGAGCTCAGGGAACTCCCTGGACTTGGCTCTTAGGTAAGGAGGCCCAAGCTGGAGGAACAGGAATGAATGGTACAGAACAAGTCTGGTTAGGCATTGAGATGATTTCTTGTTGTCTCATCTTCCCTCGATTGTGACATGGGTATTGGGAAAGGAAATCCCCCACAGCAGAAGGTATATGAATATCCTGGAGTGGGTTCCAGCTCCAGCTCTGCCATTGGATGTTTGTGTGACTCATGCAAGATTCTTCCCCATCTCAGAGTCTCAGTTTCCCAGATGAAAGTATCATGTGTAGATAAGACTGCTATCTAAGGGCTCTTAAACCCTGTGCTGTGGAGAACAGTCAGCATTGCTTTTATTCTGTTCTACTAAGAGTCCTGGTGTGGCGCTGCAGGATAATGCACTGGACCGCAAGGTCAGTTTGAACCACACGGTTGGGGGTTGAAACTTACCAGTCACTCCTCAGAAACTCTATACAGAGTCACTATGAGTTGGAACCAACTCAATGGCACTTAACAACAGGAGGATATCACGCTGCCCTTTAAATGTGCCAAAGCCAAATCTGCCCAACCTTGGGCCCCTTGAGTTCTGATGTGGCACTGCAGGATAAGTACTGGACTGGGACCCACAGGTTGGTGGTTCAAACCCACCAACTGCTCCTTGAAAATCCTATATAGGATCGCTATGAGTTGGAACCGACTCGATGGCACTTAACAACAAATGTGTCAGGAGCTCTGGCTTGATCCAGGTATATATCTCTGGGCCTTTTTGATACACAGCTTGACAAAAATCTTTCACCACCAAAGGCCACAAAGTCTAATGCCTACAGAGGCTGAGCACATAACAAAAATAGCTGAAGAGAATTACAGAAAACTTGTCCTAAGGGGTAACGGTTGCCCAGCTATAGCAAACTGTTGCTTTAGTAAAAGGCATGCCCAATAACATTAGGAGTCCTGCTGTGGTTCTGTGGGTTAATGTGTCAGACTGTAAAGCTCTTTGAACTGCAAGGTCGGCAGTTCAAGCTCACCAACTGCTCCTCGGAAACCCTATACAGTTTCGCTATGGGTGGGAACTGACTCAACAGCACTTAACAACAACAACAATAACCTTAAGCAGATCTTCTCCTTTTTAAGAGTACCACAAAGCCTGAATGTTCATGTGAAACCTCTAAGGTTCTAAATGTTGGTAACGAATTTCTATTAAAAGAAGAAAACAACTCCTCAGGGGACTAGATAAAGTCCATCCCCTCCCTGCTCCCTGATTTATAGGGGTTGTGGTGGTTACGCTCATGGGCTTTGGTTTCAGATGGGCTTGGGGTCCAAGTCTGGCTTCACCTCTTCCAACCAGTGAGGTCTTTGGCAGATTACTAAAGGCCTCAGTTTCTTCCTAAGACTACACATGACAATGACACTTACTTCCTTAAGTGAATTTGAGGAATCTGCATGGAAGGCTGGAGCAGAAGACCTGCTAGGACATAGCCCTGGGGGGTTAGTGTCTGTTCTTCAAACTATTTAATTGAATTTGTGTCACTTCAAACTTCTGATTGTGAATTGGCCCACATGTCCAGATCTGTCCCTGCTGTCTGGAGACTAAAGCCTTGGTGTTTGTGCCAGAGCAGTCTCTAAGTAGTGAAAATCGTTCTGAGGTTTGAGTCCACCCAGAGTGGCCTTGGAAGAAAGACCTGGTCATCTACTCCTGAAAAAATCTGCCATTGGAAACCTGACTCCATGGCAACTTGTTAACTGGTGGTTTGTGCCAGTGGTCAAACAAGAGTACGATGGGTCTAGGACAAGAGGGTTGATTCAGCCTTTCAGAAACGCTAGGACTTGGAGAGCAAACTAAAGACTGGTTCCGCAGGATGTGGCAGGAACACCGGATCCCTCTAAGGCGAGAAGGAGATTTCAGCCACTTATTGCAAGCATTAGTGTTAATATTTTTAAGTGCCTTAAAGTTGATTCTAACTCATGGTGACCCTGTATAGGGTATCTGAGGAGTGACTGGTGAATTTGAACAGCTAACCTTGCAGATCAAACTGACATTTCAATCCAGTGCATCACACCAGGACTCTACCACAAGTATTAGGGATCTAAGACACAAGACCCAGGGAGTGGTCAATTTGGACAAACAGGAGGCTCACCATTAGCCATCGTTCTTCAGACCTCATATTGCCTGGCAGAGGTCTTCCATTGTAGCTGGAGTATTGTATGGTTTGTGGTTGTTAGGTGCCATCAAGTCAGTACTGACTCATAACGACCCTATGCAAAACAGAACAAAACACTGCTCAGTCCTGGGCCAACCTCACAATCATTGCTATGTTTACGCCCATTGATGCTGCCACTGTTCCAATCAATCTCGTTAGGGGTCTTCCTCTTTATCTCTGACCCTCCACCTTACCAAACATGGTATGCTTCTCCAGTGACTGGTCACTCCTGACAATATGTCTGAAATATGAAAGAAAAAGTTTGACCATTCTGGCTTCCAAGGAGCACTCTGGCTATACTTCTTCCAATAGAGATCTATTTGCTTTTTTGGCAGTCCATGGTACTTTCAATAGTCTCCTCCGACACCATAACTCAAAGGCATCAATTCTTCTACGGTCTTCCTTATTCACTGTCCAGCTTTCACATGCATATGAGGTTATTGAAAATACCATAGCTTGTGTCAGGCGCACCTTAGTCCTCAAACTGACATCTTTGCTCTTCAACACTTAAAGAGATCATGTGCAGCAGATTTGCCTAATGCAATACGTTATTTGATTTCTTGACTGCTGTTTCCATGAGTGTTGATAGTTGAGCCAAGAAAAATAAAGTCCTTGACAACTTCAATCTTTTCTCCATTTATCTTGATGTTATGTATTGGTCCAGTGGTGACGGTTATTATTTTCTTTATATTGAAATGCAGCCCATATCGAAGGCTGTGGTCTTTAATCTTCATCAGTAAGTATTTTAAATCCTCATGGCTTTCAGCAAGCAAGGTTGTATCATCTGCATATCGCAGGTTGTTTATGAGTCTTCCTCCAATCCTGATGCCATGTTCTTCTTCATATAATCCAGCTTCTTAGATTATTTGTTCATCATACAAATTGAATAAATGTGGTGAAAGAATACAACCCTGTTGCATACCTTTCCTAATTTTAGACTATTCAGTGTTCACCTGTGCTGTTCTAGCAACTGCCTTCTGGTCCATATACAGGTTCCTCATAAGCATAATTAAGTGTTCAGGAATACTCTGCAATGTTGTCCATAGCTTGTCATGATCCACACAATCAAAACCTTGCATAGCCAATAAAGCACAAGTACATCTTTCTGGTATACTCTGCTTTCAGCCAAGAACCATCTGACATCAACAATGATATCCCTCATTCCATGGCCTCTACTGAATCTGACTCGAACCTTTGGAAGTTCTCTGTCAATGTATGCTTGCAGCTGTTTCGGTATTATTACCTTTAGTAAAATTTTACTCACATGGGATATCAAAGATATTGTCTGATGATTTCTGCATTCTGTTAGGTTACTCTCTTTGGAATGGGCACAAATATGGA